GGGGGGGGGAAAGAAGGGGAAAAAGGCATCACCACACAGCAGGTATCTCCGGGCACTGCTTCCTCATATGGCAGCTCATTTCACATCCAATCACTAAGGACGTTCTTCCATCAGCATCTGAACATCCTACTACCTCCACAAAGATGTGAGATGACAAATTTTCTCTGGATATTTGTGTCAATCCCATCCAACATTGCTTGTACGTGCAGGGCAGGCCATAATGCTCCTCATGCATTTCTCAGCTGGGACTGCAATCCAGTTCCCTATAATCAAGAGGCCCATTTTGCCTTTAGAGCTGCAAGGGATACTGTTCTTTAACCCCTCCGCACACGGACATAAAAGCCTTTGCTTTGGCCTTGGCTTCAGGCTGGCTCACTGCTCCATCTGCTGCGAGACTCAAAGCATACGCTTCTCGTCCCAGGCTGCAAGGCTGGACTTGGTGCAACTGAAACATCTGCTGTCACATCATGCAAGTCTTCTGATATCCTGGCAAAAGCACGTCCCTAAAGCATGCAGAGAGAATGGCAAAGCGGAGCATGAACATGGGTGTAAGAGTGACAATTGTGTTACATTAGTCTTCCAAAGCCAGAAGGAAAGGTCTAAGTCAGCTACTCACAACAAGCTACTAAAGCATGTGAAGGAATACAACGCAGCAGAGGATACAATTACAAATATGACAAAAGTTATGATGATTCACTTAGGCCTTGTGATACACAGCAACAAAAGCCTGAACATTTTTCAGAGGTCTGGATTTAACTGACCTGGTTAAAGTTAAGTCTGTAGCAATATCAGGAAAATAATCGGTATCCCTCAATTCCCGATTGTGCTGTGGTTGAACAGTAGACTCATTTCTTTTCACAAAAGCAGATCTAGTAGAAATTCCAATGTTTTGTGGTCTGTTTTTTTTAAGCTGAAGAACATTTTCATCTACTATCCTATGCAGCATCTGTTTAAACATGAGCGTGGTGAGGCACTGGAACAGGTTGCCCAGAGAAGTTGTAGGTGCCCCATCCCTGGAAGTGTTCAAGGCCAGGTTGGATGAGGCTTTGGGCAACCTGGTGTAGTGGAGGGTTTCCCTGTCCATGGCAGGTGGGTTGGAACGAGATGATCTTTGAGGTCCCTTCCAACCCGAACCATTCTATGATTCTATGACTTAACTGAATTCTTGGAATATTTGTTTTGCTACCACGTTTCAAGTTTTGTTTTATTTAAGTGTCATGTTTGCTAAAATGACCAGCAATTGTCCAATCCCGGTGCTGACAAATCACCTGTTTCCTTTTGTTAAGCAGTAGGTTAATATAACTCATTTCCCTGTTACTGCATTAATTAAAAAGTTTAACAGTACGATCAATTCTGAGGTGTACTTCTTTCCACATTGAACAAGACGTTCAAAATACTTTCATGTAGATTATTCTACAGATCCTTCTTCGAAAGTGCTTGGTATGAGAGTCTGTGAACGGACTCTCGATTCCGGATGAAATCCAGGAAGATTCTACTCTTCTACTCTTACTTCCAAAGTTAAAGAATAGAGAGGCATCCTCTTCTCCTCCACCCTTAAGAAGAGACAGGTACTAGCTTTTCCATAATCCTCATAATGCATTCAATTAAAGAGACCAAAGACTCATTCAGATTTTTTCTTTTTTAAGAATTTTCTAAGCAATACTTAACTGAAAGCACTTTGTGCAGAGGAACTCTATGACGGGCTATCTAATCTTAGCCCTACATGAGCTCAAAGCACCGCAGAGATGTGGGGTCAGGACATCAAAATCCTAACAGAAACAGGCTAAGGGGCAGGTGGGGGTATTTAAAACCCCTTAGCAGTTTTAATATCAGTGTAATTAGATACAATTATGTGACTTAAAATAGTACTAACCTTGTCTTATTAATTACATAGACGCTTCTAAGAACATGTCTTAATGCCTTTGGCTTTCATTGAGATTTATACAGAAAAATCCACAAAACATCCTTTGCTACCTTCCTTTCCTTTTATACATTATTATGCATAAAACAAATTCTATCGACACAAAATTTTGAAGTTTAGTTTGTAAAAAAAAGGTTCACAAAGGTTGTTTAAACAGCATGTACACTTTAGAGCAAGGCAGAAGATTCAGTATAAAAAGAGGATGAAAACTAGGGATCAGTCACACATAGGTAACAGGTTCATACTGATCAATGTGCTTGTAGTGAACCCGTAGGGTTTTTTGAAAAAACATTTCAACTGATTGCTTACTCCGAACTCCAACATGAAGTCAAGCACTGACTACGTCACTTGTCAGAAACTAACAGTTTAAGGATAACATTGAATCCTGGCTTAGTTAAAAAAGTTCAAGTGTATTCTGAGCAGTCTTCAGCTCTTCGCCTGAGGCTACGCTCTCCTCATGTGTTGATCAACAGTCATTAATTGTAAAAATAATTGTCATTTTACAGCTTCTAGTTCTTTATAAAAAGAACTTCTTCAGGGTCCTTTATAAAAATTTTTCCTTGTTCTTCACTTCTGCAGATGATATGGTAAGACAGCAGGGAGACACTTGTGGTTCCATTTTTAATGTCCTCTTCCTATTTTAAGGGAGAAGAAAAATACACTGAACAGTTCACATCTTAGATGCATATAAAGCAAATAAACTATATACATAACACTAAATGAGTTGATAGAATAAAATAGTTTGTCATCATTACCTGTTCTCACAGTCCTTTTTGAATGCAAAAAACTAGCATGGTCTTACACAAACATCAAAAACCACAGAGTACTACGCTTCGGTTTAAGCCAGCTACTGTGATGCACAGAAACTTTTTGCATAAAACTATAAATAACAGTAATATGGTTTAATATTTAAAAGCTTTAGAAAATCGGGAGTCATTTTTACTATTGAAATGTAAAAACTGCACACTCACCCCGAAAGCCTCCTCCACCACCTCTTCCTCCTCTGAATCCTCCTCCTCCTCCTCCACCTCTTCCTCCTCTGAATCCTCCTCCTCCTCTTCCTCCACCTCTTCCTCCTCCGAATCCTCCTAAACATAGGAAAGAAATTACACTTCGAGGAGCATACAAATTCTTTGTTATGCATAACAACTTATTTCATTGACAGCTTCTGAAAGGAAAAGATCAACAACAAAAAACCAGATACTGTCAATTGCTGGACAGTTACTTGGTCAGTTACTAGTACCTTGTCTCTTCTAGGGACCATCTGCAGCATTTTAGGTATTGGTTAATATCTGATATACAATGTCCAAAATACTAAAGACACTAACAAAACTCCACTACAACCTTCTTTCAAGGGAGTAAAAAGTTAATCACAACTATTAATTAATTACAACTCAAAAGAACATTAAAACAAACAAACAAAAAATCTTTGAAACACTCGTGCCTTGCTGCAAAGAGGCAAGGTAGGGAGAAGAGGCAAGAAACTGCGAAGTGAAAAGAAATCAACTTCAGCTTTAACTGAGGAGTACATCACAGATGATGTTCAAAAAGCAAAGGAGGACGAGATCTAGCAGGTCATTCACCCCTCTGTCAAACACTGCGTTTCAAGTATTTTGTCCAAACTAGATTTTTAGAACATACTTAAAATACAGCTTTCACTGACAGTTTTGAGTTTGGATCATCTGCAACCTTTTACCACAAGTTTGCTTAGTAGTCATGCTTTCTGTCTTTGTTATAAATCCGCGTGCTCTCCTCCCTACGCTGTGCAGCCGTTATTTAGCTAGCTACAGAAGCCTAGGTCTTGCCATTGGAAAGATATCACTGTTTCTTCCATTGAGTCATCAAACAAATATGCATAACACTTTTCTTTGCAATACAACTGCTGATTCAGGTACTCAACTGCAGCTTTACAAAAAAAAAAAAAAACAACAACAAAACAAACCATCCAAAAAAAAAACAAACCAGAAAAACCAAACAACCCACCCCACACCAAAAAACATCAACATTCTGCAGTTCCGCTCAGGGGATCTCACCTCTACCACCGCCTCTTCCTCCTCCACGTCCACCACCACGTCCTCCTCTACCACCTCCTCTGGGAGCACCTTTTTCTCCAGGTGGCCTTGGCAAAAATCTCTGAAGGGGCAGCAGCTTTGCTGGATCAATGTAAAACTGTAGGAACACAGATCCATTAGACTTTGAAAATACCAAGGCTAAAGAGCACATTAATATCTCCCTTTACAAAAATCCACAATTTGGTCTTAACCTTTTAGGTCAAATTATCCTCTGCAAATAGGCAAATAAAGAAAGTATGCAAGAAATAAATCACCGTGTTACAAAGTTATTAAAATACAGATGATATTTGCATGAGTTTCATTTGTTACATCTTTTTTTTACAGGGCAGCAAGAAGGAAGAACGTGGCAGATACAACAGCAAAAAAAGAGGAAATGAATACTTATGTTTACAAAGGACAACTAGCTTTTAAATTTAACAAAAACTTAATAAAGCTTTGATTATCTGATGACATAGAGTAGATTTATCTAACTGATGACATACAGTAGAATTCTGTTACTGAGATTGGCTAACCTTTTGCATTTTTTTAAATGAAGAGGCTTTCATGTTCTCAGATAGCTTCACTGAAAAATACTGTTAGCTTCTTTAAGGAACATAGTAGGAATAAAACATTAGAAATTGCGATTTTGATTATTATATGAAAGGCACATTCAGACATTTTCTAAATTAGTATTTTATAAACGAAGCTAAACATCATCGCCGCAAATGGAAAATTACAATTAAAAGACCAGGAGAAACTATTTCCATTTTTTCTCATCGTTTTTCAATAGTTACAAATACAATATTGCGTGGTAAAATAATTTTTTTCCTTCTGTGTGCTAAAGCATAAGGAAGAACACACCAGTGAAAAGAGTACATTAAAGTCTCACGGCTTATCTGGAACAATTTACATGCCGCAGGGGCTCTACCAATGCTGCTGGGTGGTACAGCTGCCTGGCTGAGGAAAGGCAAGAGCCAGCAGGGACTGCTGGACCAACCAGATGCCCAGCCTTATCCTACAGCAAAGTGACAGACGCTCTCTGGAACCCCACACACAGTCCTCTACAAATCCTTTGGCTCTTCAGTATGCAAGGACTTTCCTAAGATCAAAACGAGCTGCTGGTCAACTCTGCTGAATTAAAACTCAAGATTAAATAGGGAAGCAAGGAGCTGCAAAATCCAGTAACATATTTTCTTGATATGGTATTGTAGGAAGAAAACAAGTTCTGTGATTCCAGTAATTCTGACACAAAAAGTAAATCTGCAAGTTAGCACATTCAGAGTGCCAGAGTGATTTAAACCTGCACATTTTACTTGACGTTTAATGTGGAAGAGGAAGACACATGCAGCTACTTACTGATGCTCAACCAATTGACGCAGACTAAGTCCTACTGCCATGTTACAGGGTTACTCCTCCGGTTGTCCCACTTTTATCATGGATTCTGTCAATCTGTCAGTGACAAGAGAATGGACCCAGTGCCTCTGTCTCAACAAGCTTGCTTTGCAAGAGGATGCCCTAGCACACGCCCACTTTTATTGGCAGTTTTAAGTAAAAAGCTGGACGATAAGCAATAGGACATCCTAGCCCAAACTGACCTTTACAATTCAGTAATAAGCTGCAGCATGAGCAAGGTCCCTTAAGGCACTAAAAATATTCCGCTTCCTTGATCCAACTCTGCTATAGGTGAGTAACCTATAGCAGAAAATTTAGTCAGGTGGCTAGGAAAAGTAACATCTTGAACCACCATGGGTCCAAAAGACGTCTGCCAGTACTGGTACTGACTGAAACCCTCTGCCTGCCACAAGGTACTCTGTCATACTGAAAAAGCTTTAAGATAGACGATGTGAACGAGGCGCTTCCCGACACCAGCAGCTGCAGCGAGACTTGTGACTGTTCACATCTAACCGGTAGACAAACCCTGAACTACTCTAAAAGCCTAGAGAAATTCCATTTAACAATCAATCAGCCTTTAAAAAACAAATACGGTACGTCACACATTTTTTTTTGAAGGATACAAAATCTCTCAACTGTCCGAAGATTTCATCCACTTTGCCAATCTGTTCCTTATTATCCAAGTACACCGGGGCGTTGAAATAAGGCACCTTGTTTTCTTCTGTTTTACATTTACAAACGATGTCATCTTCACAAGGATGCATGAACTCTCCCAGCACTGAAATAAAAAGCACAAATAAGGAATGTATGAACTCTCCCAA